GGTTTGAGTTTTTTGGGGTTGGGGGGCCTGTCACAACACACCTGGGGAACGGTCTTTTTTGCCTTAATAATTGAAGGCAATGTTTGGGAAAATGCATATGAGATTCGAAAAGTTGCACCCGGGAACGATTTTCCGATTTCGCTTTCGCAAAAGAACAAGAAAACTGTCTCACATTGCACTTTTCCCTGATCACTTTTCTTTTTTGTGTACGCCTCATTGGTTTTCTTTTGCCGCTCTCACATGACTGAACTTCTCACTTGGCCTTTTGTTTGGTGGGAAAATTTAATTTTTGAAATTGAATTTAAGACTCTTTGAATAATTCATTTGTTTCCCAGCAACTTTAATTCACATCCTCCACTGAGCCATTTGAATGCACAGCGAACGCCGCTTGTCGTTTGATAAGTCACGTCTCTGTAATTAATGTCGCAAAAATATTGAAGAGAATTTCGCAATTGAGTTCGTGACCAGCATCGTTGATGATTTTAATGATGGAATGTTGAAAGGATTTATATTGAGCTTACTAGTTAAATATTAAATAGGATATCAGCATGAAGCAGCAGATGAAATCTTAAAGCATATTTACATAGCTAAAAACCCATTAAGTGATTTCTTGAGTTGCCATTATTATGTCATTTATCCAAGAAGCCAACAAATTGAGTTATTCCAAATGAAATTGTGAAAAATTGTGCATCATTCTGGTGAATGCATAAGGATAAGCTTGCTCCTAGGACCATCCGCCATTAAGGATACACACACATGCAAGGAGCACACATGATTTGAGGCAAATCATCGTCTTCCCTCTCAAGATTAAGAGCCTCACATCTTGCCCTTTGCCCTGCCAACGAACACTTGAAATTTTCATAAATGGCTAAAGGACGATGCCTGCAACCTGTCTGTATATAGAGACACTAACACTAACATAACGCACCTACACTTCCTTACAGTTCAAAGTTGCCATTGCCACTCATGACGTTGTTGGTCGTTTTCCTTCGTCTATCGTCATTTTTATACCCTTGAAGTGGGTATTGCCTAGAATGCTTACAGCTTAAGGGGAGAGTCATTTATGACCTCTACGAAAATTGGTGTTTTTGGTCAAGAAGACTATTTCTTTATAGAACTATCTCAGAACTTGTCTTGCTTAAACTCTCAAAGGAAAATATTTCTTGCACTCTTTTAGGGGGCATGGAAAATTAAGGCTCAGAAGTTATCAGGACATTGAAAGCTTATAGTTATTCATATTTTATTATATATTGAAATAAATATAGATAATATGGCAAAAGTTTGATATATATTTATTTCATATTAAGGTAAAAAAAAGCTAAGTTAAAAAGTTCCAAGGGTATTTCCCCATTCCATCTCCTTAAACTATTACTTCAATTTAGTTTTTCATTTTTTCTCCCCATTTTTTTGCAATGGCAGTACTTTCCTGTCATTACCACTTTTCTCTATCTCTCTCTCTCTTTTTGTGCAACTTGCGTCTTTTACTTTTTTTAGAGGTCTTTTTCTTCATTTTGCTGTCACTCGCATGCAAAATTGAAATCATCAACGTCGTCATCAGTTGCTGTCTGCTTGAGTTGACTTGGTTTTTGGGTTGTGTAGAGGGGGAGGTTACTATATGGCTGTTCAAATCACAACTAAGCTGTAGAGATGATATAACTGGCTTAAGTGAAAGCAGCACACAGAGGCAATGTGGAGGAACTTTTCCTCGGCTGTCTCAAGATTATTGCTCTGCTCAACGTTTTTCGTGTTTTCCTTTGGTCCAACTTTTGCCCTAACAACCAAATAACATGCCGTGCTGCATTTGGCTCGACGTGCTCGACAGACCATAGCCACGCCCAACCGCCTTTTTTTCTGTATATATATATAGTTTTGCAATTCATTTTTAAACTAGGCCAGATGCATAAATCTCTGCGAGTGACTCACGGCAGAAGGAAAACCTGATAGGAAATTAAGTTTGTTGCTGAAATTTCGATGGTACATCAGCATGATTGCATAATTTATTTATCATTTATATGCGGCATTCAGCATAGTGGATGTATCTTATGTCAGCATTATGTTTGTGTCCCCAGTGATTATCCTCACATTATCTATATTAGCCAGATTACTTAGGCTGCCACAGCCCTACCAACCCACAGACCCCTTGCAGCAACGCATTTTGTGGCAACGCATAACATAATGAGCTTACCCTTTTGGAATCCCAAAAGGACTTGGTTGTGGGGGTTACTCACCATGGAGCACCATAAGCGTTACAAATTATGCACAGACAAAGAAAACTTTGGGGGATGAGCGGGTTTAGATGACATGTATACTGCTATAATATGCTAGGTGTCGTCTCATTTTAATAAGATAATATTAATAAGGCAGGTACACAGAGAGAAATTAGAGGGAGATAAACTCAGCAAAGATTTTTGGTAGATACTTTAATAGTAGCTCTCTCAGATTGCCTCTGTGTTTGTAAATCAACCAATTTTTTTCTGCGTGTGGCAAAGTGCAGTTCAGAGTGCAGTGGGGGGTCCATTACAGCGGTCACTATCGCCGGACCTGTTACATAAACAATGGCCTGCCAATGTGCAGTGCCAGCTGCAGATGTCCTGGCATTATTGCAGCTACAGAACGGGCGATAAGCACGCAAAGTCGTTAAGTGCTGCGGAATGGCTTAGCCGGGGTTCAGGACTCAGGATTCGGATTGTTGCACATCGCCCGTACCGGTTGCCACATCACCACCACCACCACTCGGCTCAATCGATTAAGCGGCTTAAGTGCCCCATAAGCTGCCTCGGCTGACTGCCTTCCGCTGCATCTAGCTGCTCTTCCCCCCGCCTCCTTCTTCTTCAGAAACTGCTTCCTGTTTTCTTGTGGCCTCCTGGTGTGAACACGTGTTTTGTATTGCCTATCCTCAGGCGAAATGTTGGTTGCATGTTGGTAGGTGCAGGTGGCAGGTGCATTGTTGTTAACTGCGGCTAAAGTATAACACTCACTCACACACACACAGTGTGCACACCCCAGGGTAATTATTGAACATGTTTATTATTTGCCTAATGGGCCGCAAAGCACTTGCGATGCCTACTTAGGGGCGCCTCATTTTTCAATTTACTCGAGAGTTTTAAAGGGGGAGCAGTTTATGTCCCTGCTTTGTCTGTGTGTGTGTGTGTTTAGTGTCCCCTGCTTATGTTGTCGTAAACTTTAATGCCAGCCATATGTATACTATATACTCTGTATATGCTAAAAACCAGCTTGTTACTTGGCCTGCAAGTACATTACGAAGTCGTTGTACGATGTGTTTTATGTTTATTTATTCCTGCCATGGTGTCCCCTTGTTGAACTCACGAAGCCATCGTTAAAAGAGCATCAAAAGTGGCTTAGACCGCAAAGACCACCACATCGTGTCTGTGAGTGAAATAAATAATTCTCTCTTACAACATTCTCATAGAATTACCTAGGACATGAAAAGTGGAATGAGTATTTAAGGGTTCCGATTGAAATCTACTTGGGTCAGCGATACTCACTTTTAGGATAACCTACTTATGACCTACTTAACGTGATGGCCACTCATATCGAGTAAACTGGCCAACTTTTATGGCAAACATTTGGCCAGCAAAACAAAAGGTTTCCACTTGTTTTTTAATCCTCTTTTTGCCAAAGAACCGAATTACGTCGTAAAAATGTTTATGTTTCATACCTATAAACTTCGTTGGCTTTGTTTGTGGTTACTTCAAGTTTATGGGCAGACTTGACTTATGGTTATATATGTTTTAAAAACAAGAACAGCTGGATATTTTTCATTCGTCTAGCCATTAAGTTATTAAGTTTGGGAAATATTAAAGAAAATGTAAGCATCAATATGGCCAGCGTAGGTAGTAATAAACAATGTTGTTGAATTCTTCAAAGCTCAGCCTTGTACGAGGGTGGTCCGATAAGTACTTAGCCTCCAAAAGAAAAACGAAATTTTGAAAAAGTGGCGATTTATTTCTCAATATAATCTCCTTTTAGCTCGATAAACTTGACCCAACAATGCTCCAATTTCTTTAAACCGTCAGAAAAATATGTTTTCTCGAAGTCTGCAAAATAGACCAGCGAGTGACTTTTTCAAGTTTGGAAACAAAAATAAGTCACACGGGGCCAAACCTGTAGATTTCGACCGTCTACGAGAATGTACTACATGACAGTGTTGTCAGTTTAGCTTATTATAAGCTGTTCTAGCATATTTTGAACTGGAAAAGCTTGAAAACTCCCGATCTAGCTTATAGCTTGAAATATAGCTTATTTTAAAATTCATCTAGCATATTCTAGCTTTAAATGTATTTACGTCATTAACGCGTTGCTTGCATGAAAATATCGGAGCTTGTTCTTTTTTTGCCGATGGTTATGTGCGTTTCATATGATCGTGAATATATTTCTTATCGATAGTGCCATGTAGCTTGTTTTTTAGCATATTTTTTTTAAATTATAGCTTATTCTCGCTTATTTTTTCACAAATCTAGCTTATACGAGCGCTCTTTCGATAGTGACGCCATCTGCCGGCGAGGCTAAGTACTTATCGGACTGCCCTCGTAAACTATCAATCTTTTTTACTTTCATAAAATGTACAGAATTTAACATTCAAACAGATAATTTGTCTGATATTAAATACATATCCGATTTATTACTACTACTATGGCAGCTATAAAATACATAATAAAAACGAAATATTTAATATTTAAAAATCCACATAAATTCCTCTACCATGTTCATCAATATATGCACTATAATCGACTTATCAGCCAGGTTATATTTATTCATATTGGTAGGGAAACGGCTGTAAACAGGCATTCACACATTCAACTTAATGGCATTCATACGCCCTGTTGGCCAAACAGATTTTCATAATATGGACTGTTCATATGGCAGTTGGGGACTCGGTTGATATTTAATTAAGCTGTCATGAATATGAATCCGAAATGCCACAATTACAAAATGTAATATTTTATTTATATTTTTTTTTGTATTTTTTTTTCTTTCAGAAATATGTTAGTGAGCTGTCGACTGTACGCGATTGTGCCACCGAGTGCCAGGAGAAAGGTAAGCCTGAGGTTTAGTTATTAACCAAATGCTAATTGAACACATGTAATTGGCCAGGAAATGAAATTTGATTGTTAGAAACCACAAAATAAATTGATTTCTAACATCTGCATTGATTCAGTTGACCTCAGCTAATTATGAAATCAATATAATTTGTATTTGTTTAATATTAGAAATTTGGGAGACACAAACGTACTGCTGCACCGAGGATGGCTGTAATTCCGGCAACCAATTGGCCTACTCCGTCATCCTGTTGACCCTGCCAATACTCTCAATGGCCTGGCCAACTTTCGTTGATTTTTGGAATACGCGACGTTAAGTGGGTCTTCGAAGGAGCCAACTTTCCTTTGCCTGATTTATTTTCTATATTTTTTTTTTTATAATTTTGCAACAAGAAAGAAGAAATGTATAAAATTTCAAAAGTTAGCATTTATTTTATGTTCAAAAAAAAAAAAGATTTTTCAAGATAAAAAACAAAATTCTGTGAACGGGACCTAATCAAACTAAGAAGCGATAACGAAAATTAACCATCTGAGCCTGTTTTTTTTTCTATTTCGGATTATACATATATGAAAGTAATATATATATATACATATAGTTTGCCAACATGTTTGCTGTTAATACTTTGAGGCTTTGTATTTCTGACTGTCTTCCCAAGCAAAAATGATAACGAAAGGATGTAGCCACATCCAAAAGCTTAACTAATTCATATTCACAAAAAAACAAATAAAAAATTGCAATGCCAAATTACTAACTAAAAAAAGAAATCGTGTTAAAAATAGCAAAAAACATTATTAAAGTAAAGAAGAAGATAACTAAATTTAAGATTATGCCAGCTGTCAAAAGTACATAAGAAATCGCAATCATATTGAGAAGTTAAACGAAAAATAAATCAATATCGCATTTCATGAACATAAATAAGTCTAGTAAAACCTAAGATTAAAACGAAAGTAGTAGTACTTAGGAACCCGATGAGTCCTACAAAGGCAAGTTAAGCTTGGATATAGTAACTATAATTTGCTTATATAAAAGATATACAGATATTACGCAAATGTCAAAGTCACGGTGAGTTTATTTTGGGGTCTGTGATTTTGCACTTTGGCGCTGTAATATTTGTGGTCGATCTATCTATTCTATGTTCTTTCCTAAGCTAATACAGTCTACTAAACAAATGTTGTTTTTCTGTTAAAAAAAAAAGAAAAACAAAAGAAATCTAATGTTTGTTAAATAAAATTATAAAACTAAGCTTAAGATTGTACGAATTATGATAATAGAAGCGAACACAAAGCGAAAATCGAAGAAGATGTTCTCACTCCACTGTTCATGAGATTCTAAATTAAATATTAAAAACTAAAAAACGCAATGCAAATGATATAAAAATCAATTGATATTCAAAGTTGTAGCAAAGTCTAGCTCAGATAGTAAACATTCGGCATAAACGTAGGTAAACAAACTAATTAATAGAATTATTATTAGAATTATCGAGAGTTTTTAGTGAGCCATGACAAAGTTCTTAACGATTTTCTTATAGAGAGCACTTACGCGATTACATTTTTATTAATTTACAAATAATAATATTTTCAACGATTAATACTTATAAACCATATATATATATATGATGAACAATTCATATGATATATATACCTAAAAACATAGATTTTAGATCTAAGGGCTTTCACTATATTAAAAGCAAAAACAAAACCAAAAAAAAGATATACAAAATGTTAAATGTTAGTTCCTCGAAAACCAAAGCAGCTTGTGTACTCGTATTTAAAGTTCACATTTTGAATAATTTGCATTAAATTTCTCACGCCACTTAATGAAATTAGTAAATCGGATTTTCATTTAATTAAATTTCTATAACCACCCACCACTCAATTTCAAATTTCATTTGACATTTTGCCAACTAAAATGTCCAGCTATCTGCCTGCTTTTGGCCACATTTAATGCAATCATTTCATTTCACATTCTCTTCTCAGCGACAACAAAAATTCAAATTGCAATTACAACAACACTAATAATAATTGTATGTATATGGGTATATATGTATTTCCAATAAAAATTTTCATTTCAATTTTTAGTAATAAACTTCAATAAAACAAGCAAAAAAGTAAAACAAAACCAATTTCGTTTTTCTCTTTACAACGGAAATTAATGAGCACCATTGCTCAGGGGCCAGTTGGTAGTAAACTAGAGCAAAGTGCCCTCTGACAAACTGGAGCAAAAAAGAGTAATGGCCAAGTTAAGCCTTGGCTGAGAAATATTCCAGAGTTCAACAGGGCAATAAATATTTGTCTCCCAAGTAGAGTCTATTGCCTGAATTGAGGGCTTCTCTGTGCTGCGAACTGGAACTTCTAACAAATATCCCAAAAAAAAAAAAAAAAACTTAGAAGAAAAAGGAAAAATTATTTATTGCCTTTATTTATTAGTTGTTAGAACTTTAAGGGTGGTGAATGCGTCTAATGATGCTATTATTTAAAGGAAGAAAATAGTTTTTATAATATTAGTTTTCTGTCTTAACAAAGCATCTACTTTAATCAGATTTTTGTAGACTTTTTTTAGGTTTACAGATTCTAAAGTAAGGCATCTCTTGTTGATCTTCTCTTAAGTTTAGCTACAATTTCTTAAAACTTTCTTTTTCTGTGTTTTTTCTAAGAATTTTGCTAGCAAATCTCTTTCTAAAAATCTGCCAAATTTAAATTTAACTCTCCTATTTTAGGTGCCCTTCTAAAGGGATAAAAAAATAAATAAAAAGCGAGAGTTGTGCTAATGTTTGTGCGCTTCAGCATCCGGTAATCCGGATAAGCCACGCATTTTACATATCGTTGTGACAAACAAACTTTTTTTTTTTTTTCTTTTTTTCGTTTTGTTTGCCAGCCCATCCAAGGGGCTGGGTTTAGGGCATGGCTTAACAAACAAATTCGTGATGTAACAATTGAAAACACAGTTCGTGTGTGTGTGTGACTGTGTCTGTATGTCAGCAAAGGATTTGCCGCAATTACGCGGCACAGTGAGTGAAAAAAGAGCCAGCCATAAATATCAAAATAAATGCAGCCTTGGTCCTGTCAAACGGATTAATTTGCGAGCTTCAGTCTGCTTCGGCCCCACCCAAAAAAAAAAGTGAAAGGAAACCCAAATTGCAATGCGGTTGATTTCCTTTATCGCGGCTAAAAGACTATTTCACTGGCTGACTGACTATTCAAGTATACCCTGAGGTATTCCGCTGGGCCAAAGTCAAAGGAATGAAAACCATTTCAAGGATTTCTGGCCGCCGTCTGAAGCATTTGGCCATGGTTCAGCGGGCTGTCAGGATATAAGATCCGCTCTCAGCGACATTAGAGTCCATTGGAGCATCATACGCTTCCTCGATAACTACTCAAGTCGTTTTCCTGTATATCGAATTTCATGGATTTTCTAAAGGTGCCTAAAGAGAGTTTTCAGGAAAGTTCAGTGATTTATTTTAGAAATTTTACTTTCTATTTTCTGTTCATTATAAGAAGCACCTAAAAAGTTCTGTGTTAAAGATAAAACCTTAAAACCTTTCATAAATAAAATGAAAACTAACAAAACTTGCCATTTCTCTGTTATTCTTATGTAAAATTCTAAACTAGAACCTCAATTACCAAACATTTCCTCCTGCATTTTCCTCTCCTTAGCAGCTGAGATTGATTTTAGCCCATTTGCACACATTTAAAACCCAAATTACTTGACCAAAGTTTTACCACAAATGAAAACTAAAAGAAAAGCTTTAGGAAAAACTAAAAATTTAGCTAGCAATATGCTGCTGTAAATATTTGGTAATTCATTTTATACTTCAACGCAGCTGAGAATGAAATAATGTTGACAATTTTTGCAAACACAATCAGCAGAAAGAACAAAAGGCAGCAAGCACACACACACACACCCACCCATCCACATATAGAGCATTAATTTATGACACTTTGTGTGTGCCGGGCAAACAAACACAAGCACAAGAAGAGCATTTTTGTGGGCGTGTTGCCTGCAGACTTTGCCTGTTTTCGGTGTGTCCTTGAGGGCAACATAATAAATGCCAGGCTTCTCCGGCTCTTAGATCCAGTCAAGCCGAAACCGAATTATACCAATCTGAGGCAAGTCGGTGAGTTTGGCTCTGCTGCTGCCAAAGAAAACAAAACCATAATGAATGCTTCTGCTGCCAAGAGCTTGTTGTTGACCAACAACGATGCAACAATGCCATGTCAGTTAGCCACATTCGCTTTGAATTTGGTTTTGGACTTTATACTGGATTTGGGGCAACAATTGAAGAGGCCAACTGTCAGCAAGTATGAGAACCAAGCCAAAAAGGGGAAACTGCGAGCATCTGACCACTGCATAACTTCTAATTAATGAACGTCACACCGGGAATATCGTGAATAACGTGAAAACCCGAAGGCAATTTGCAATTCCACTTCCTGACCAAGGGGAAACTGAATGCAACGACGATCGAGCTGGTCAGGGGGTCAGGTTAAAGCCAATGTTAAAACAGAGATGGCGGAATGGAACAAATATTTTATCACAAATAGTAACGTCTTAATCGTTTTTTCTATTTCTTTTTAGAAGACATCAAGTTTAGGCTTAGCTTTTCATTTTTATTTATAATTTTTATCATTTCTATGAAAGGTTTTTGAGTTTCTATACTGATAGTATACAAAATCTTCCCAACACTGTAACAATCAATTCCATAGATGGCTTTTAATTCATTCCACTGTTTTAATCTAGCAGCTCATTTAAATTGATAAATTATTGATTAGTTGGGCACATTTGAGCAAATGCCATTACCATAGTTAGCCGACCATTAAGCAATTAACAGCTCTTAATTCAAGCACTCGAAGCTTGAAAGGAAAAACAATTAAGTTTCTTTTGTGCGCCGCAAGACGAGGCATGAGAGAGAGCGAGAGCCCGAAGCCTGGAAAACCCAGACGATGCAGCTGGAATGGATGAAACAGCTGCCAATTCTCACCTACAAGCTGGGAGATGGGAAATGGGAAATGAGAGATGGTAGATGAGAGATGGCCTTTAAGCAGTTGCCTGCTTAATTGCTTGTTGGCTTTCCACTGGGCCCTATCAATTTCAGTTGCAGACGTTGCAAGACACAGAGCAAAAGTCGACGGCAGATGGCTTTATCCTTATTCATGTCATTAACAGCGGAAGGACAACGACGTCCACCCGGAATTACGTACACTTCGCGTGTTTAATCGCTCGATCTGCCTTCATACTCGTTGTGCAATTCATATTTTAATTTAATTCATTTGCATTTTCCGCTTTCTGCTCGGTTTCTTGACTTCTTTGTGGAAATTCCATGGAGTTTCATGCGTCGGCTTTTCTTAATTGAAAATCGTGCAGCATCATTAATCTCATGACCAGTTGACGCCTTAATAAATGCTCGGACATCCTTTAAAGTATCATTTACAGTGGTCAAGTGAAGGCCAAGACCTCTGACCTTTTCTGTTTGCCAGCCATTTAATTATTCAAACACGCGTTACGTATACGCACTGAGTGCCCGCAGACCAACATTTGTCCGCATTCACAGGCCGCAAGTGAGGGAGTCGTTGTCAGTGTGGATGAAATCAATTAGACAAGACCCATTAATGCCCCAACAAGCCGAGGCGTCTAGGAAACTGTTAATTAATCAAATACTGGCCAACTCTCGGTGCTGGGAAACACACATGTATGTGTTTTTCGTTGAAGAGTTGGCACTTCAGGGCTTCATCATTCTGTAATTCAGGGAAAAAGGCTGAAGATCTGTAAGGTAATTAACTCATTACATTTTCATTCCTAGAAATATTTGTTTGCCTGTTCAAGTAAACGAACATTATTCGAGGTAAAGGTCAAAGGTAAATGATGAATATAGTCGTATGAACAGAGACAGAGATAATAGAGAGAAAACGAAAGGAAATATAACGCTATCTGTAGGAACTAATAAGTGGAATATTTCTACATTTGCAATATATTGTTGCATACTTTTAGACTGCCTTATAAGTGCCTGTCAAACCTTAGTGAGTTAAAATCAAGAGTTTTTCTGCTAGTCACATTCTGTATTAGAATTTCACCAAGTAGGAGGTTTTAAAAAAAGAATCTCACTGAATCTCACATCATCTTTAATCTATGACGCATTCCCGGCCTGGTCAGCCCGGCCATCATCCGCTGTTTGAGGCCACAATTTCGCTCTTTGATGCCCGACTGCAGCCTGCAGGTGATGGTGATGATGATGACAGCAGCGAGATGCTGGACTTAACGCTGTTATGCCATCGCCAACGCTTGTTGGCCGGCGTGTCCAAAGTTCCATCCTACGGACACTATATAAGGCCCTGGGCAAATCAAAAGCCAAAAGAACACAAGGATGGTACGGGGGAGGGGGTTATGAGGTGAAGCGGTGAAGAGTCAGGGAAATGCTTTCAGCGAGCTGTGCAGATTTTGATGCAATTAACCCGCGCGGTCAACAGTTCGTATATGTGTGTGTTTGTGCGTGGGTCTGTGTGTGTGTGTAATTACACTTTGACCACTCCCCAGAGAATCCTTAACTGTGTTTACCTCTTCAGGTTTCATTAAACTCGTAAATTTTTTTTTCTGGTCCCCAGATCCCCGAGCCCAAATACAAATACAAATACAAATACAGAAAGAAGAGCGAGACAGCGAGGCAGCAGCAGAGGCTTTGGCATTCAGTTAACATCACTGGCAACGGGGCGAATGCGCGATTTCCCTTTTTCATTTTCCTGCCATGCCCTCAAGTGCTTAACTCGTTTTAACCTCGTTTCACTGATGTAGCCCAGCATTGTTGCTGGTGTTTTCTGCAGGTGCTTAAGCCTGTTTGGACTTTTTAGTTTTTCCTTTTTATTTCGTTTTTTTTTTCAGCTGGATGCTTCATTTGTTTTTCCCTTTCGTTTTACGGCCGCTGATACCCAAAAATAATGCCGCTCTTCAATTATAAGAGGGCGCCAAACAAAAAAAAAAAAAAGAAATACGAATAAAAGCTTTCTGCAGCCATTGAATTTAGATTGAAATTACTGACCACATCTTAGCCGAAGGCTTTTGACCGCGAACATGT